GGCGTGTCTGTCCATCCACCTGGGAAAACTCTCATTACCACTGTCTGTATGTTGAAGGCGTGGGACGAAAAACAAAAGTGTGAGGCATCGTGGCGAAATCAGGCGCTGGTCTAAGTAAGGAAATCGAAGACACTGATTTTTCCGCTCCCGATGAGCAATGTTTATCGAGATATAATACATATAGTATTTATGGTTATTGACTCAACCGCTTTTATGTATATTATTTGACAGCATATTCGTACTAGGATTTTATTTATAAGAAAACTTTGATAAAAAGCACAAAATATTTAAATTTGCAGTTTCCATGCACACTTCAGCTTTGGAATTCATCAACTTCTGGCGTCCATTTCAACTTCATCCAGTGCCAGATCTACGACAGACATCGGCGATCATGGTTCTCCATTCATTCTTTTGCTCGGAAGCTCTTAAGAAAAGCTACGTTTCCCTGATCTTTCCACATTTTCCATTTGTTTAGGTTCCCTAAGTAGGTTGCTCTGGGCCTACCCTGCCCCTGCCTCGTTAGCCTTCAATTTTGCCAGTGAGAGCTAGATGTTCAAGACCTTTATGTCTATTAAGATGTCCCCAAAACTGCATAATTTGCCTTTTCCTGATTGTTTCTACCAGTGAGCGTCCTGCGTGGGCTTCATCGGGCGTCTATTTACTCGTTACTTTTACCTCTGACATTAGACGACCCGCCCCACCTCCTTCAGTCACATTATCTAGTGCGTGGTTGGCGGGTGCTCTGGTGCGGTTTTCTTCTTCTTTCCTATCAAACATCTATCTTTCTCATATCCCCTTCTTCTTTTTTATGTTTGTTACTCTCTTGTAACACCTCTAATCTCCTGGCGCTCATATGACCTTATGCAGCAGTTGCAAGCACCCGTAAAACCTCTACAAAAACAAAAACACCCCCAGATATCTAGACGTCTGTCCAAGATAGATGGGAATAATAATTAATTTGTCAATTACGAACAAGGCGTTGAACAAACTTTAGGATAGGATGCTACCTATAATTCCGTACGTACGCTCCAAAATGGACGAGCGCCCGATTCCACCATGCCATGACAAAAATAGAACTTTCGTTGCGAATTGTTCCTCTAAAGGGGACTTTAAAAGCGGCTCAATAATTTTCCATCTCGTTCAATTTCGACCGGCACACTTGGGCACAATCAGTTTGACGGGGGAAAGTAGACGAGACGGTTCAAACAGAAATCTGTTTTTACTGGAAAGTGCACGCTGCTTTATTTCTGTTTCTGTTTTCGGGTTTATTTTCCTTAGGGAGAGTTTATATTATGTGTAATATGCTTAAAGACGTTTTACGGGGGCCTGTCTTCAAGGACCGAGTGCGACTAAAATAGAGAGGTTTTATTGGGAGCAGAGAGAGGGGTTCAGAGGGGAAAGGGCTTGTGCTGGCGCGTGAGGGAGGGAAGGGGGGCAGGGTGAGGGAAGGGGGTGGAAGGAAAAATCTCTTCCTGTTATCTCATTCTCTCTCTCTCTCTCTCTCTCCCCTCTCTCTCTCTCCTCTCTCCCTCTCTCTCTCACTCTCTCCCTCTCCTTTATCCCTCTCTCTCCTCTGTCTCTTTCTCTCTGTTTCAAACTAATATTTTCCCTCAATCTCTCTCTCTCATTCTCCCTCTACATTCTCCCCCTGTCTGTGTCTGTCTCTCTCTCTCTCTGCCCCCCTCTCTTCCCTCCCTCTCTGCCTCTCTCTCTCCCTCTCCTTCCTCTCTCTCTCTCTCTCTCTCTCTCTCTCTCTCTCTCTCTCTCCCTCTACATTTTCCCTCTGAGCCGTTTTGCTAATATTATGAGTCCGGTTATTTGTTTCTCAATTCGTTTCCTTCAGCTAAACTCGCACAAAAAAGTCAAGGGAACAAAATTCAAAGAAAGATAACTGAAAAAACGTTTAACCGAATGTATTAATAAAAAAAAAAGATGCATTCGACTCTCTCGGTTAAGTGTGTACAATTTCAGATTTCAACAATCACGAGAAGTTCATATAAAATGAGTTTAGATCACACAGGTCGGATTTCAAAAGTTTGAACAGCCATAGTTCTTCATGAACATCGTCAATAGTGAGTGTCTCCACCTCGTTTGACCAAACACTCGGCACAGCGTCGACGCATGGACAGGACTGCCACTCCTGGACGAGGTAGCCCAAGCGTTGTTGAGGGTCCTGTGCAGGAGGGTAGTTGTCCCTTATCCACCGGTCACAGTGATCCCAAATGTTCTCTGCTGGGTTCAAATCCCGACTAGAAGCTGGCCAATCCATGCCGGTGTGGTGACACCTCGCTGCTGCAGGAAGTCCCCGGCGATGAGTCGGGGTGGAACCGCTCTCCTCGGCGCCTCCAGACGTGGGCTCGCCTGTCTGGGTGCAGCAGCTTGAATCTGGATTCGTCTGAGAAGACCACCTGGTCCCACTGACATTGTGTCCACTGTGAATGGCGAGCATGGCAGACCACACCCAGCGAGCTGCTTTGTGGGGCGGCGTGAGTCTGGGGCGCCTGGCAGGGACACGAGAAGCGAACCTGGCTCTACGGAGACGGTTCCTCGTTGTCTCCTCGCTCACGTGGACATTGGCTGTCACCCATAGTTGGCCCCTCACGCGGTTTGTAGTGGTGGTTCGTGACGTCACAACCTGTTTGACGATGAACCAGTCGGTACTGTCGTTGGTCAAACATGGCGCTCTGGTTGAGGCCTGTCCTGAACCCTTCCGGTCACTCGCTGTCGTTCTTGCCGCCTCCATATGACTGACGGGGACACCCCAAGTCGACCGACGTGCACCGACAGGGGAGATGGAGCCATCGTCGTGCCAGGCAAGGGCTCTGCGTACATCAGACAGCGACCATTGTTTGGGCCATCTTGTTGTAATGAAACATGGCTGAAAAACGCGGGCTTATAAAGGATTCCAAGTGAGCGATATTCACAGCAAAGACATCTGTTTAGCACATGCCAAGCTTACTTTTAGCTACCAGTCACTATGCCAATGTTGCTGGGGAAGAGACATTTCGCAAATTTTTCATGCTTTTCAGCTGTGTTTCGGCATGCCCTGCACCTCGCTGTGAAGCTTGTGCGGGTAGATTTGCTGTACAGGCAAACTGTATCTAGTCGTCAGTGCGTGTGCCAAGTTTGGTTGACTGAAGTTAACAGGTTTACGAGACATTGAAGTTTGAATTTGACACGTGAAAACACAAGTTGTTCCTTGACTTTTTTGTGCAGGGTTGTGAAGTTCCAATTTTTTCATCAACTTGGTGTGTTATTGTGAGTGCCAGAGCTGTGTTTTTTGTTAGTTAGTTTGTTTATTTTTTGTATTTTTTATAATTGTTCTACGGCCCTCGCAGCTACTGCGTAAGGTCTTATGAGCGGGCGGGACACATTAAATATTTTCAGTAGGTAGGAAATTTTGAATTTTGCCCGGGTGGCAGCCGAATCCTACTCTAATCGATTTTGGACCACCAAGGCAGCTTTAACGTGCGCAACTTGCACATGGTACCTCCGAGATTTATCGTCATTGTCCGAGAAGGCTAGGTGTAGATCTTTCCTACCATAAGATCAGGGGTGTGGCTGGAAGACAGCAGCAGGGAGGAGCCAGGGGGTAGCAGTATAAAGGCTGCAGAAAGAGTCAGGAGCTCCGAGGAGGGGGCAAAGTAAGTGAGAGGGTGGGGACAGAAAATGGAGATGAAAGCAGACAACAGAACACTGCTTGAGAGCCGGAAAGGATAGTTCTATGTGTAGAAATTGTGCTCATCAACTTGACTTGCTGTTGTGGGCAAAAGATATATTATTCGGAGACGTCTCCGGCAAGCCCCAAGGAACCATTCGGAGACGTACTCCTCCAAACAGATGCACTTCTTTGGGAGTCAAATTATGTATTGTTTGCTCCAGATCACACATAAAAATATAGCCACTACAACTGTTGCAAATCAATTATTTTCAAGAAAATCTCAAACCTAACTAATCAAAAATCATGTTAAGGGTTAAAACAGGGGAGTAAGCCCCCCTTTAACCCCTCAGAAATTCTTTACTTGGTTAAGAGGCACAAATAATTTTGATTGGTCTATTTCCGTCGGAGATGTCTCCGGACTGTGGCTGTTGTAAGTGGCAGCGCTGTGTGTAAAACATTATCCTGTGCTCTCCCCAGGTCTGTCAGGGCAAGACTTTCAGTTCTTGGACAACGGAGACGGGCCCTCCAGGTACCGCATTCTCAACTTCCGGCGTGATGACGTCACAGGAGAGTATGAGTGGGCTACTGTGGGCTTTTACAGGCACGGGCATCTCAACATTGTGAGTAGCCGACTCCCGGGTGGTTTAACAGATAGCTTCGTGGAAGGTTTCAGTTGATATCTCAGTACATATAACATTGTCACTTTACTTCCTCAGTATCGCCCGCCTGTTGATATCTAAGTATAACAATGTCACTTTATATCTCAGTATTGGCTCTTGATATCTCAGTTTAACATTTCCACTTTATATCTCAGTACCACCAGTTGATATATCAGTATAACAACGTCACTTTATTTCTCAGTATTGACTGTTGATATCTAAGTATAACATTGTCACTTTATATCTCAGGACTGACTGTTGTTCTCTCAGCTGTAGTCATTTAATTTATTCTTGCTATTGTGTCAGTTTTTTCCGCAACATTTTCTGTTGATATCGTACATTGTGCGTGATGATATCCCCATATGTTCAGCTGATACCTCACTGTCGCGTGACCTCATTGTGCTCTGAGAGTCGATGCAAGTATTTCAATATTGTCAATGGATACATCAATATTGTGAGGCAGCGTGGTGGAATCAGGCTCTCGTCAAAATAATCAAAGAGAAGAAACTGGCATTTTTCACCGGTTTGTGAATTTTTTTCAATTTTTTGTTTTTTTATTCAACACCTTTTATGCCCATTAAAGAACTCATTTCTGTATGGCTTTCTCTGAAGGCGTTGATTAAAGGCACAAAAAATGTAAATTTTCAGCTACCACGGACTCTTAAGCTAAGGAAATAACTAATCTTTGGCCGGCCTTTTTCTCACTATCTTACCTCTGAAAACAGGTGACCCCCACCCCCTTCGTTCGCAAAAATCTCGACTTGTATTCAAGAT